CCAGTATAGGCAATCGCCCTTTCGGAACTTGCCATTTGTAGGGCAGATGGTGTAAAGGCCCTATGTGTCTATGGCTCAGGGTTAACAATGGTGTTATTTGGCCGGCACAGCGACCAACCAACTTCCCCAACTTAGTTGGGTGGACTCAGAGGTATCCTAATATTCAAAATCACAGTTTTCACCAAGGTTCGAAATCGGAACCTCTTGTTTTGGAAGCCAAGCGCTTTACCACTCAGCCACCGCGACTGCTACTATGAAATAAACACACACTTAAAAGATACAAAACATGACAGACACAGTGAACGACACACGCTCAATAAAGACGCACACACGAGCATTAAAGATACACACGCATAAATATGTTATATGCTCCCGCATGAAGGCCACACACAATAAAAGACTCCCATATAATTTTATTATTATCATTATTATTATTATTTTAGCCGGAAATTCCCCCGGCCTGCGGGCCTTAGTTTGTGTATTACTAATCTAGTGGATTGGATTTAGATCTTAGCTAATGTTCCTTTCAAGTTTTTTTGCTCTTTCGCCACCAAAATAAAAGTAGTTTTGCGTAAATGGGTTTATCCGTTAATCCGATATGTTTATATAGTGCATAGTGTTTCCCCGATTTGTTACAAGTTTCTCTAATAGATAAAAATTTAGATATTAAAACGGGTGTAACCGATTTGTTAAAAAGTTTGGTACTTTAATAGAGATACAATTAGGTACTCTCTGTCTCTTTTTAGGGCCTTGTGTTTGTGATAGGGACATTAAACATACACTACGGTCTGCGCCATGATCTAAGAAACATTTATGCCAAGTTTTATCAAGTATGTTCATTTCTTGAAGTATAAAACTATCTTTGCGAAGAGTAGTTCTATCATGTTAGACTTGAATTAGATCTAGGGTTCGAGAGATTTTCCAGTTCTGCCATGCGTAACCTTTGGATCTTGAATGGAATATAAAATATTTCAGGACGTCTAAATTTGCACTTGTAGTTTTTAAAATAAGATCTAGATCCTTTCGGTCTTGTCTCATGTAAACATGGTTATATGACCTAGATCCATGAAACAGTAATACTTTCATAGAGTTGGGCAACTTTTTTTTTGAGGGACTTAAGCTTGTTTTAGGGCTACCTTACATACATTACTGTTCCAGTTAGTACCAAAGGAACATTTATGCCAAGTTTTATCAAGATTGATGAAATGGTTTTGATTTCTATTCGGGACATACATACATACATACATACATACATACATACATACATACATACATACATACATACATACATATAACATACATACCTACTCCTTACTTATAGATAAGACACACATACACACACTTATAAAAGGCACACTTACGTGATTGATACCTTAAAACATTATTATCAAAGTCACTCTAATAAACAAAGTGTTGGGGGCGAGAGAAATATTATACCCCCCCCCCCCCCTTTTTAATCCCTCCTTCTTGGTATTACTGCTCAAAGTGAGAAAACAGTGGCGAAGCTAGGGATTTGGGGGCCCGGAGGGCTAGACCTCTTTAGGGGCCCCTGCATTTTGACACTTGATATCATGACATGAGAAAAAGGCGTAAAATTTAATGTAAAAACAAATTTCTGACACTCATTTGGATCCCCTCCCCCCACCCTAGCTACGCCACTGTGAAAACATTTATCCTGAAAAATCATATATTTCAATGCTGGTATTTTGTACATACCAATCTTCACAGGAGGGTGTAGATCGTGTACCCATTACACATGTGTGTGAGCCCAATGACCGGGTGATACGGCTGGGAATACAATAAGCTTCCTTTATTCTAATATCTTATATTATAATGTGAACATCGGTGCTTGCTCCACAAACGGGTGCCGATGTTGACTGTTCACAAGAGAGGGTGGCTACTCATCCTTGACATTAGAAAACACACTCACGGGGGTGTTCCATTTATCACAATCTGCGCTCTTAGTACCGAGATTATGTCTTCGGTTTGGGTGGGTCAGTCAAAAAAGTTCTGTGTTTTTTTGTCGCCTTGGGTTTATTTTTCTTAAGTGAGCAGAATGATATGGACGCACTTTTTTTTACTGAAGCACTGACCCATACTTTACAGATACTAGGAAAAGGGGGTAGGTTTTCTTACTGATAAAAACTAAAAAAAAACAACACACACAAAAACCGAGGATACAGTGCCGCCTTTGATAAAAGTACCAACACGAGAAACAAGGCTAGACATAACAAAATTGTAGTGGTTCAAAAGTCCTGGGACTACTTTCTTTTCAAACGTGTTTTTTTTTGTTTTTTTTTGTTATTTTTCTGACTTTTTCACTTTGGCTGTCCATCTCGTATCTTTAGGCCTCCTCTCTTTCACCAACACACGCTCACACTCATACACAAAGTTTGTATTTTCCCCTCCACTCTTCAACTTTCTGACGCCTTGCTTTTAATGAACTATCTATCATGTTCTTGTGTTATTGAATGCCTTGTTCTTTGTCTACAAGTTTCTTTTGTCCAACTACAGTGGAGTCCTGATAATCGAAACTTCGCTAATCCTAAAGTCGACTTAATCCGAAACCGAAATAGGGATATTTATAGAAACAATAACTAACAAGATTACAAAGACAGTTTGTGTGGAAACACAAACTCAAAATCGACCCACGAAGTGGTCCACCCAGGCAGGTAAAAAGGCAGGTATCAATATTTTCAGAAAGAACATCAGAATTAAATTCTATTAAAGACAAATGACAGAGAAGAAATGGAGAAAAAATTTGACAGACCTTGCGTGGTGCCCCAGCAGACCAAAGGATAGGTGAAAGTGAATGTTAAGTTAAATGTGAACCTGGCCTAATTGATTTAATTGTATTGTAAATACTCGTACTCAAATCCTCAAGAAAAAAACACTTGCGTAATAAACGGGTGATTGAGTGCGTCTGTGGTAGAATATGATATTCCGTTATAGTCTACTTATTAGCTGTTCTTTTAACTTATATCCAACTTATATGCATAATAATAGATTTTTCTCTTTAAAAAAAGTAAACATTATTTTTGGGTAAATGTAATAGTTAGAAGGACAGAAGTTAGCAAACGTAGCAAATTAGCAATACAAATGTAAAAAAAAAAATTAAAAAAAAAAAATCTAAAACCATTAGCATAAATGTGTTACAAATAGTGAAATTGCTTATCTCCCCTACAAATGAGCCTCCCGTGTTTGTTACTATTAATAGTGAATAGTTGTAAAAGTGTTGTATTTTTATGAAAAAACTGCTTGCAAAAGTGTTTTAAAAAATTAGATTTTTCGCTTTTAGAAAATAAAATAGTAGCCGTTGCATCAGAACTTTGAATGGACTAAAATATTAAGATGTCGGATTTCCACTATCTTTTCTAGTTTACGAGATCAAAACGGGACAGACCAACAGACGGGCGGACAGACATTTCACTTAAAACTAAAAGCGTCTTTTCCCCTTTCGGGGGCCGCTAAAGGGACGTAAGGACAACCGGCACCCATTAAAACACTGAATAAGTGGTCGTCTCTTTTTCCATTAGGACTAAAACAGAAATATTTAAAAACTCCTTCATTCCACTTTCTGTCAGTGTTACAAGGTCATCTGTCGTCATCGAGAAGTGCATAGAAGTCTAGTTCATAAAGCGTTGGTTGTGAGTGTGTGTTTGTTTCGTGTGTGAATGTTGTTCCTTTTTGTATCTGTATTGTTATTGTTAAAGTAAATAAATAAACATATATACATATATATATATAGCTCTTCCCTCCTTCGTGGTCAAAGATGAGCACATTTCTCATTTCCTATGGACTCGAAGATGGCTACAAAGTCCAATCCTCGTTTTAAAAAACCGGCCGCATATGTGGCATGGGTGGGTTATGTCAGTTGCAGATAGGCCTGCTTCTTCTCTCAGCTTATTGTTGATCCTGCGCTCTTTCATACTAGCCACTCTTCTTGCTTCAAATCTTGAGACTCCCGAGACTCACAGCTTCTCGCCATGAGGAGCGATCGAGAGCTAGTGCTTCCCAGTCGTGAATGTCGATATCGCATTCCTTGAAGGAGCTCTTGAGAGTGTCTTTGTAGCGCTTGTATTGACCTCCCTAGGAGCGCTTTCCTGCACACAACTCCCCGTACAGAAGTCGTTTGGGAAGGCGAGTGTCTGGCATTCGGACTACATGTCCGCCCATCGAAATTGGGACCTTAAAACTGTCGCATTGAGTGTATGTATCTGGAATGTGGTCGGACCAACGCACCTTATGGATACTCCTTGGTTACACTGGGGTGGTCAACTGTAGTCAAACTACATCTCCATTCGTTTTGGATCAATAAAAAAATATCTTATCTTATCTATTAAAAACTACAGTACGTTTCAAAGATTGTGTAAGGAACAAAACAGAACAATGTGATTCTAAGCTATATTGATTATTAAAAAGTCTGTTACAATTTTTTTTTTAATGGAAGATAGGAACACTTCTCATATGAACCAAAATTACACCAGCACCTCAGAAACAACATACCCGCTGGGTTGAGGCGGAACGCAGTTATTTTATGTAGCATAGCCCTACATTGTATTTTATAATTATATATTTTGTAGTAATTTTTTTTCCTTATTCCAAAATATTCATCAACCCGAAGGGGGGGATCTGGTGCCTATCATTTCTTACTATCGGGAATTTTTTTTTTTAATTTATTTTTTGACTCGCTCGTGATTTTTTTTGGAGGGTGTGGACTGTGTTGACATTTCGTCAGTACTTTTCTCTCGAGGTTTTATTGAAAAGTCAGTGTTACTAAGTGCATTGAAATAGCACTAGAATTATTCTTTACGACCAGACTACTGGAGAAGCGCGTAGATGCTAATGGCTAAAAGCGTTGCGCGCTGGAGGCAGTCCTGGGTTCAATCAAAGGATATTATTTTTAATGCTTAGCTATAAATTTACATTGAGGGTATGTAATTATCGTGTATTTCACCGCAGGCACGGCACTGCAACATTTTAATTTTACTTACGTTTAATAATATTAATTCATGTATCTAAACCAGTCATGTAATATTAATGAAAGAAATAATATAACAAATACAAATAGAAACATAATCTGAGTAGAGCATTTTACATTATCTACAAATTTTTCACTATTATTATTATTATTTATTTATTATTATTATTATTAATGTTTAATATTATTATTATTACTATTACAGGTATTATTTTTATCATAAAAAAACAACAACATAGAATGACAATTTATGAGTTGCCTTCCTTTAAAAGAGTTCATATTACAGTAATAAGATTAAATTTGATTGGTTATTTAGTTCTTTTGATAAACATAGAACGGAACTAATTTCAGAACACTAAATAATCTTGGAAGAATCTGAAACACATTCTTACATCCGGATTTCGTTTTTCAAGTGTCCTTTTGGGCACTGGTTCGTCGTGGGCTCGGGCGCAATGAACCCCCCTTGTGCCATGGTTGCCAAGACACAACTCACTCTGTCTGTCTGTTAAAATGTTTGTACACGTTATTTCTCCCACACCCAGTCTCAGATCAAGCTGAAATTTCACACAATTATCTCTTTTACCTGACAACACAAGAATCGATAAAATGAAATTAACCAATTAGTTACTTAACTATTGGTAATTAATTATTTTGTTTGGTATCTCAAAGGAAGGAAATAGTACTTCACTGAAGCGGTGGTATAAACTGAAATAATCCCTATTATAGGTCGTCGTCTTAGGCTTAGTGAATACTAACATGAAATAGAAACAATACATAACTATACAATCTTCCATGCTCATACGCTCTTCACCAGCAGAGTGGTTACCGTGTTGGCTTGAGAAGTCTCTAACCCACGAGTTCGAATTCAGGTCGTTCAGTTTTTAAAAAAAAAAAATATTTGGAATAACGTTTTGGCTGACTCCTAATTCGGCCGCCTGCGTGCACTGCTCAACAGGTAGTGAGGGCTCTGCTTACATCTAGTATTTAGTGATCAACTCGCACATGTGACAACAACTAATCCCTTTTGGCGCCTACAAACATGCGCCATCGTTAGCACGCGTTCACGCGTGGTCATTAATTCTGAATCCTTGACCCTATTAGTAGTGCCAGCCGCCCACACCTCCTCCCATTATTTCATGAAATCATGTGACAAGTTACTGAATGTCTGTTCCTGGGCGTGATAATCCATTGGTCAAGTCAGCTACTGTGGACAGATGCCATTTCTTGCGCGATTTGTATTTGCGGTACGCAAGGGTCAAGCAAGGGCGTTAACTCGCGGACAGATTAAGACCGAAGTTAGCCGTCTTTGTACCTCGAATCTCAGTAGTCCTGGATCTAGATAGTTTTTAACAGGTGAACATATTCCCTTCCCCACCCTTTCATTCCTTCCCCCTTCTCTTTTTTCCCGTTACTTTATTTATATAAATAAATATATTTTGGTTCAGAATTCAGGATTCTGGGTCATGAGGTCAGATACTTTGAGAGATACAAAGAATGAGGTTTTGTAAACTTAAAACAATCGTATGGTTTATAATAAACTAAAGCCGCCTCGTCTCGGGAAATGTCCGGCCACAGGTAGTTAAGTGGATCAGTTTAAGGACGATGGATACCTTCAGAGTTTGTGATGAAATGGTAGAGCGCTGGAACGATTTTGAAATTCCGTTGATGTATCTTTAAGGAGTTATTGGATACTCTTGTGCTTGGGTCTTTCTACCCTCATGGTAAACAAACACGTACACACGAGCGCACATGCACACATCTTATTTCATACACACCCAAACACACAGACACAAACGTGAGCATTATCTAGTATAGGGAAGCACTGCTAGAAATGTTTGTACTTAATACAAAAAAACTATCTCTGTCTCTCCGTCTCTTTCTATATTATATGTATATACAATACATATATTGTTATTGTTCACACCGTAAAAACTCTTGTCTTTTAATATTTCTAGGCCTGGAGCTAGATCAACTACAATTTCCTACACTTTGTGTAGATCTATAACTAGTATGGGGAGGGGGATGGGAGGGAGGCCGGGATAAAACTTTTTTTTTTTTAAAATTTATATCAATCATTAGTTATGCAGCGCAGTGAAACTGCTACTACAAAAAGTCATCATCTGTATAAAGGAATAATAATTTTTTTTTATTGTTTTTTTGTCCTCTTAATTTGTACATGTTTTCTTCTAATTTCCAATGAGTCATACATGAGCCAATGAATTGAAGTGTAATTAATACTACATAGATAAGTAATGTTATATCAAATACTATATATTTCATTACATTCTATAGAAAGTGTAGAAACATTAATAAAAGATGGGGGGTGACCATATACAAAAAGGATTTTAATGATAATAAGTAATAAGAAACATACATTTTTCTTTCAGTTCTTTTGAGTCTGATTGATGGAGCGATGAGTTTAAACAGGTTAAAAAAATGTTTTGAGTGCATGTGACAATTAATGACGTCATTTTTCTTCAATTTAAATAAAATGTGTTTATGTGCAAAATTTCAGTTCGATAGGATAATGAAAAAGTTGTCAAAAGTAAACGGTTCAAACTTTTGGAATATCATGAAAGTGTAGGATAAGGGTTGGAGCATGGGTTGGAGTTTTAAAACAGGATTAATACTTGTAACACAAATAATAATGCATCAAGAGAAGTGGACATTGTATCTATCTATCTATCTATCTATCTATCTATCTATCTATCTATCAATCTATCTATCTATCTATCTATCTATCTATCTATCTATCTATCTATCTATCTATCTATCAATCTATCTATCTATCTATCTATCTATCTATCTATCTATCTATCTATCTATCTATCTATCTATCTATCTATCTATCTATCTATCTGTCTGTCTATCTATCTATCTATCTATCTATCTGTCTGTCTATCTATCTATCTATCTATCTATCTATCTATCTATCTATCTATCTATCTATCTATCTATCTATCTATCTATCTATCTATCTATCTATCTATCTATCTGTCTGTCTATCTATCTATCTATCTATCTATCTATCTATCTATCTATCTGTCTATCTGTCTGTCTATCTATCTATCTATCTATCTATCTATCTATCTATCTATCTATCTATCTATCTATCTATCTATCTGTCTATCTGTCTATCTATCTATCTATCTATCTGTCCGTCTATCTATCTATCTATCTATCTATCTGTCTATCTATCTGTCTATCTATCTATCTATCTGTCTATCTGTCTATCTATCTATTTATTTATGAATGTATGTGGAAGGAAGAAAGAAGAAAGACACTTGGGACACGCTAAAAGCTTACAAAATTTTAAGGAGAGAATATCCAGGCTTTACTAGCTCTGACGCGCACTCACACTCACACGCGCCCTCTCTTTCTCTCCCACACACACACCAACAGAACGTGTGATTCGAATGCCTTGAAAAACAAGATTTCAATAAGTCTATTCACATCCCCCAAGGCGCTCGTGCAGTTAAATTGAAACCGGAAGCTGTGAAAAGAATAGAGAGATAGATAATTAGGGAAGCTTGGACGGGTGAGGGTAAAATAGGAGGGGTGGGGTCTTGTTTCGCCAAGTCTTTTCTTCTTCCCTTCGCAAACCCACACCTTGAAATGGCCGCCTTTGATTGCCAGCTAAAACTGCTATTGTCACTCAGATACTGTAGTCCCAGAGTCTGTAGAAGGTGTTCTCTGGCTTTCTACATGCAACTTCTTTTTTACTCAAAGTGTAAGAAATAGGTGCATGGCTTACATCAGCTAACTCTGTCTTTTACTCAAAGTGTAAGAAATATGTGCATGGCTTATATCAGCTCACTCTGGCTGGTAAGGAGCTTGAATTAAGTTATTTCTCCTACACCCATTCTCTGATCAAGCTAAAACGTTGCACAATTGTTCATTGCCGAAGACAAAACATGAATCAATACGAAAAATTAACTGGTAATTAATTATTGTCTTTGATATTGTCAATCTCCGTATGGTGTTATTAATTCTTCAGTATTCAGATTTATGGCTAAATATTTGGGGTTTGTCACTGTTACGTGCGCATCTTAGTGTCAATGTGAAATGGTGCGATTGCGTGTTGAAAGGGGAAAGAACCAAAATGGAGGACTATGAACAAGAAAGTGTTTTCAGTGTTAATAAAGATGAAACTATTTATAAACTGTGATTTGTCGTTTTCTTATCTTCTTTATCTTATATAATACAGACGTTACTTCAAAAAAGAAGATGATTACGTCCTACGCGTCATGCATTTAGTCATGCATATTAACCAATGACTTAAATTCTGCCAAGTCACTGGCTTTTCTGGCTAGCTCAGGCAACCCATTCCATGCTCTAATAGCACTAGGGAAGAAGGAGTATTTGTACAAATTTGTCCTAGCATAGGGGACAAGGAATGTGCCTTTATTTTTGTGTCTTTCAGAGTATTTTATTAAGTTTTGTTTTTGTATTTGAAGATTATGGTTCAGTGTTTTATGTATAATTGCTACTTTACTTTTGAGTCTTCTGTCCTGAAGGCTTTCTAAATTTAGTGATTTTACTAATGGTGTTACTCTAGTCAAATGTGAATATTCGTTTGTTATGAATCTCACTGCTCTATTTTGTGTTTGTTCCAGTTTCTTAATGTTTTCTTGAGTTGAGGGGTCCCAAACGGTGAATGCATATTCTATTATTGGCCTAACCAAGGTTAAATAACATTTTAGTTTTATGGTCTTATTTGATTTATAGAAATTTCTTTTAATAAACCCTAATGCTTTGTTGGATTTTTTTGTAGTTTCATCAATATGTGGATTGCATGACAGTTTTTCATTTATTATAACACCTAGGTATTTTGCGTTTTTAGTCTGTGTTACTGGTTTGCCATGAATAAGATAAGTGGAATTAATTTGTTTTAGTTTTTTTGTTACTCTTAACCACTGACATTTTTCTGGGTGGAAAGACATGCTCCAATTTGATTCCCATTTCTGTAATTCATCTAATTCTCTTTGTAAAATATCTGTGTCTTGTGTTGTTTTTATTGTTCTATATATTATGCAATCATCTGCAAATAATCTGACTTTTGTTCCTGAACTAATGCAATTTGGTAAATC